GCTGGGTGGTTCTGGTTCAGGGTCTCTTACTAGGAGGCAGTTAAGCTGTTGGCAAGAGCTGTAGTCATCTGAAAGTGCAACTGGAGCTGAAGGATCTGCTTCCAAGTTCACATCATGTGGCATATCTATAGGAATGCTCACAACATGACAGCTGACTTTCCCCAGGTGAGTGATTCGAGAGAGAGAGAGACTGGCCACCTATTCACAAAGGTTACATACCATCACTTGTGTTGAATTCTATTGGTCACACCAACCATCTCTGGTATAATGTGGGAATGAGGACCAGAAGAGGTGGAAATCAATGGGGGCAATCTTGGATGCTGGCTACTCCGGGTCCATTGTCAAGGTTGAATTACTGGTTTACTTTTTGGGGACAATTCAGGTAAATAAATTCCAGTATGTACACTAAAAAAAGTGGCTTAATAGGAAACTATACAAAAGGTAATGAGGACGGGGCCCTTTCCAGCCTGCTACCAACTCTGCCCCAAGTATAGCACCTCACCAGGAGAGCAGCCCCTCAACCTCTGGTGCTAACAGTCTATTGACCAGCTGCTGCTCAGGCAGACTTGCCTTTTCACCAAGGCTGGTTGTTGGCTTATTGCTCTACAGTGTTAACTGATAGCTTTGCCTCAGGATTTGTTAACTCTTTGTCATAATATAATCCAAAGAGATCTGGACCACACAGATATCCCACAGGACATCACACTGAACCATTACTTAGATGACATTATGCTAATTAGACAGGACAAGCACAAAGCAATTATTATGTTGGAAGCCTTGCCAAGACACGTGTATTCCAGGAAGTAGGAGGCAAACCTGATGAAGATTAGGGACGCAGGGGGTCAGAGGCATGCCAGATATCCCCTCCAAAATAAAATACAGATAGTTTGCATCTTGCATCCTTTCCACAAAGAAGAAGCCATAGAACCAGGTAGGCCTTTTTAGGGTCTAGAGGTAACATTCCACAGCTAGGAAAATTTCCTCTGGCCCATTTACCGGGGGGACATAGAAAACTATCAGTTTTGGGTGAGACCCGAGCGGGAGAGGGCAGTACAGCAACTCCAGGCTGTAATGCAATCAGCTCTGCTGCTTGAGCTACACAATCAGGCAAACCTCATTGGAGGTATCAGTGGTGGGTAAAGGTACAGTATGGAATTTCTGGCAAACTCCAGTGGGAGAATGATAACACAGGCCCTGAGTATTCTGGAGGCCATGCCATTTGCGGCAGAGAAATAGATGCCCTTTAAGATACAGCTCGTGGGGGCACCTGGGTGGCTCAGTCGGTTAAGCGACTGCCTTCAGCTCAGGTCATGATCCTGGAGTCCCGGGATCGAGTCCCGCATCGGGCTTCCTGCTCGGCGGGGAGTCTGCTTCTCCCTCTGACCCTCCTCCCTCTCGTGCTCTCTGTCTCTCATTCTCTCTCGCAAATAAATAAATAAAATCTTTAAAAAAAAAAAAAAGATACAGCTCGTGGCATGTTACTGGGTCCCGGAACACTTGACTTCGGGACACTGTTACCACATATCCAGAATCGCCCATGTTGAGCTGAATTCTGTCAAATCCACTAAGTAATGAAGTCAGTCGTAAAATGGGTAATAGGACAGAGGTCAATAAATCACAGCTCATGCTTGGGCCACCTGTTTTTGTAAATAACGTTTTGTGGCGTACAGCCATGCCCATTTGTTTATGTATTGTCTACAGCTGCTTTACAACAGCAGAGTTGAATAGTTGTAATAGAAACAGGTCCACAAAACTTAGAATATTTACTATCTTCCCTTTCACAGAAAATGTGCCAAGCCTCTGGGCAGTTAAATGTTTAAATTTATAAGAAACTACTGAACAGTTTTTCTAAAATGGTGTTTGTCTTTCTCTATCTGGCTAATTTTACTTAGCATAATGTCTTTCCAGGTTCATCCATGTTGTCGTAAATGGCAGGATTTCTTTCTCATAGATGAATATTATTTCATTGTGTACATTTATACTTCATCTTCTTGGTTCATCCAGTCGATGGACACCTAGGTGGTTTCCACATCTTGGCTATTGTGAATAATGCTGCAATGAGGGTGGAAGTGCAGGTATCTCTACAAGGTACTGATTTCCTTTCTTTCGGATATATACCGAAGTGGGATTGCTGGCTCATATGGTAGTTCTATTTTTAATTTTCTTTTCTTTTTTTTTTTTTTTAAAGATTTTATTTATTTGACAGAGAGAAACATAGCGAGAGAGGGAACACAAGCAGGGGGAGTAGGAGAGGGAGAAGCAGGCTTCCTGCAGAGCAGGGAGCCCGATGCGGGGCTCGATCCCGGGACCCTGGGACCATGACCTGAGCCAAAGGCAGACGCTTAACGACTGAGCCACCCAGGTGCCCCTATTTTTAATTTTCTAAGCCACCTCCATACTGGTTTCCATAATGGCTATTTTACATTCCCACCAACAGTGTACAAGTGCTCCCTTCTGTCTACATGCCCACCAACATTTGTGATCTTTTGTCTTTCTGATGGTAGCCATCCCAACGGGTGTGAAGTGATATCTCATTGTGGTTTTGATTTGTATTTCCCTGATGATTAGTGATATTGAGCACCTTTTCACATAGCTGTTTGATATTTGTATGTCTTCTTTGGAAAAATGTCTATTCTGGTCCTTTGATCATTTTAGGTTGGGTTATTTGGTTTTTGCTTTTTTTTATAATTAATGAACAGCATGCATCACTTCATTTTATTTTATTTTTTTTTAATTTTCATTTATTTATTTGTCAGAGAGAAGGAGAGAGAGAGAGCACGAGCAGGGGGAGCAGCAGGCGGAGGGAGAAGCAGGCTCCCTGCTGAACAAGGAGCCCGATGTGGGATTCGATCCCAGGACCCTGGGATCATGACCTGAGCCAACAGCAAACACTTAACTGACTGAGCCACCCAGTTGTATGAATTCTTTATGTATTTTACCTATCAACCCGTTGGTTTGTAACCCTCCTGGAAGCTTCCCAGGTGCAATCTAAAATCAGTCCCCAATTTTCTCTTGCATTACAGTTCTTTTTTTCTTATTGATTGGTGGGAGTTACTTATATATTAAAGAAAGTAGCCCTTCATCTGTGATAAGAGTTATAAAATTATTCCCAGTTTACTGTTTGTTTTTTCCTATGTATGTTTTGCTGGGCAGAGTTAAAAAAACTGAATTTGATTAATTTTCTTTTATAGCTTAAGCACTGTGTTACACTTAGAAAAACCTTCCCTCTTTTAAGATCTCCCATGATGTTTTCTAGCCTCTTCTATGCTTCCATCTTTTATATTAATCTCTTATTCTTTTAGAACTTATTTTGATTTTAGGTATGAGAAGTAAGGATTCAACTTTATTCCCCAGAGAGCTAATCACTTGTTCCAATACCACTTCTTGAATTATTGAGTCTTAAAATCTAGAATGTATGTTGAATTTTACTAATGACCTGTTAAGCATCTATGAACATAAGATTTTTTCTTTTAAACTATTAAGATATTAATTAATTATATGAACATTGAATCATTTCTTGTAACATCTTCCATTTCATCCAAGTTTTCAAATTTCTTTGCTTACAGTTGAGCAAAATTAGTCTCCTACAAATCTATAATTTGTTTTCTGTATCTGTGACTTTTCTCCACTTATTTTTTTATCATGACAAGTGTGCCTTTTTCTCCATTTACTTTTATTAAATTAGTTAACTACATTATCAATTTCTTTTCTAAACCTCTGGATTTATTAGTTCTTTAGTATTAGTTTTCTTAACTCATTAATTTCTTCTTTTATTGTTACTAATTTCTTTATTCTGCTTTCCTTATGTTTATTTTTGCGTTTTTTAGCCCTTGAATTGGATGATTATTTTACTTCTATTATGAATTTGCTTATCAACCCTGCTTTAACTATGTCCAAATAAGCATCTGTATGTAGTGTTTTCAGTGTTTTTATTTTCTAGATATTTTGCAATTTCGGTTTTGACTTCCTCTATTTCCCAATAGTGCACTAAAATACTTATTTATTTTTATTTATTATTATTATTATTAGAGAGAGAGAGAGAGAGAGCACTCCCAAAGGACAGGAGGGGGTAGGGGGAAAGGAAGAGAGAATCTCAAGCAAACTTCGGGCTGAGCAAAGAGCCCCACCCTGGGCTGAGACTGAGATCATGACCTGAGCCAAAATCAAGAATCGGAAGCTTAACCCACTGAGCCACCTAGGTGCCCCTCAACTAAAACACTTTTTTAAAAAACTCGGGTAGTTTTGGGCGCCTGGGTGGCTCAGTTGGTTAAGCGACTGCCTTCGGCTCAGGTCATAATCCTGGAGTCCTGGGATCGAGTCCCGCAACGGGCTCCCTGCTCAGCAGGGAGTCTGCTTCTCCCTCTGACCCTCCTCCCTCTCATGCTCTCTCTATCTCATTCTCTCTCGCAAATAAATAAATAAAATCTTTAAATAAAATTAAAATAAATAAATAAAAAAATAAAATAAAAAAATAAAAAACTCGGGTAGTTTTAACTTTTTAAAATTTTATTTTAGTTATTTATTTCAGGTTTTTTAATTTTCTCCTTTCTTGAGAACACTAGAAAATCTGTGTTTTGCTCTTCATCCCATTTGACTTTTCCCCCAGGACTCCGCCTCCACCACTGTCTCCAGCCTTTAATGAGAAAGGTCAGGAGGCGGGTTCTCCTTAAAGCGCGAAGAGAACGAAGGAACCCAGCGGGCCACTAGAGGGCACAGCAACCCAGGACCCACAGGTGCTAAGGAAGGTGAGGGCGGACCCTGCGTTCCCCAGGCGCCACACCCAGGGGGCCTGAAGAAGCAGGGACCACACGCCCGCGCGTTCGTGGCCGATTGGCCAATCGTCGCCCCCGACGCCCCGCTCTGTCCTTTGATTGGTTTTGATGGAGACGCCCCG